TTCATACACTCATTTCTGAACTATTATATCTAAGAAGTGCGTTGACCTCTCTTTCGAAGGGGGGAGACTTTGTCAGAGGGACTTACTAGAACTCACCTTGTCCAAAGTCCTCTGCCTTATTAGTTATCATAATTCCCAGCATCAAGCCGAAGAGATGGTACATTCTCAGACGTTTCACCAGCATCATAGTCAGCATCCTCAGTGAGTTTGGCTATCCTCCGTACCAAGATACAAACTCATCAAATAGACAAGCAAAGTCAATCCCTCGACCGACATTCCGTCGAAAACGGTCACACTATCACTCATCTTTCTGTCCTGGCCGTTCTATCTACCTCTTACCCTCTTATCCAACTCCAGCCCTATAACAACCTATGACTTGTATATATTCCACTCGTCAAAATGTATACCTATTTTGGAAAATTTAATGTGGCTTAATCACACCTGCCAATCACCCTGGCCCCATCGCCTTCGATCGGCTATCCGAATCTCCCTCATGGTCCTGTAGATCCGTTTTTACCCTTTTGGTTGACCTATTTCCCTATTTTGCAATGCAATTGCGCGTTTTATTCCGGGCGCTATTTCTCAAGGCCTTAGAAGCCGCCTCACCGAGCAGAGCGCCTAGGCTCTGATTGCCATGCTTGCAGATCTCAGGCATTGCCTTCACGGGTCGTCTCCTCGATTTAATCCCTGTTACCTGAACACACGGATAACGCTTATCTCTGGTTGCATGCGGCATCTCAAGTGGATTTCTTGTACATTTTGTCCATAATACCGAATTTCCTTGCCGAATTGGCTTGCCAATCTACCTAGTTACGAAATTTTTGCCTCTGTTATTCATTGCAATACTTTTTCTCCGATTAGTGCTAGATCCTTGATCTAAGCGTCTCCTTTTTGCTAGTCTTGCCGTTTTCTTGCTTATACCGAGTTTGCTTAAGTAGTAGACAACGTTATCGCTTACTCATGTTCTTAGAGTTTATCCCCTAGTATGCCAATTGTCTCCCTAATATTCCGCTTACTTGTGTTTTCATCGTATGAGACCCTTTTTTTTGTTGCCTTCAAATCGATCTCATGTCAAATCTTTGCGATGTGTTACGCTAATTCTGATCTTTCGGTATCCATTTTCCTGCAGAGCCCTAGATGTCCTTGATTCTTATGCTGATATTTCTTCATCGTTCGTCAATTTATTTTTGTTTGCCGGCGCCGCATGCTATGCATTAAACTCCTGAACAATCCTATCTATCTATCCTTTCATGTTGTACCGGTAGACTCGTAAAAGTGTTGTTATCTTCCTTTATGACCTCCAAAATCTTCTATTTCCACAAAATTGTGCAAGATTTTTGAGTTAGTTCGTAGGAAGGTAGGCGTATTTATTTCTGTGAATCCTTCTTCCGTAGACCCGGTTCTGTCATCGTCTATTCACATTCCGTGTGTTTTGTTGTATTACTTCGCTTAGGGAGCCGTTGTGGAGGAATACCCTAGTCAATATGTCCAGTTATTCGTCCCAGAATTCCACATCCGTTAAACGTATGCTTCGGATGATCACGCTTCTCATTATTCTTACCTTTAGCCTGTAATTGTGATGGGACCAAAGAATAAGTATCACCCCAGCATAAGACTACTTTCTGAAAAGTTTCCTCTTGCGCGTCCCATTAAATCGAATCACTTGAGCATCCAGGAAACGTAATCGGTCACCTTCCTCTACTTTCATCGTAAATTTTATTTTTTTCATTAATCTGGTTTATAAACTTTAGAAAATCCTACGGTTTTTCTCTTCCATGTGACCAAATTGTAAAGCAATCATGCAGGTAATGCATGAGCACTGCTGCTTGCCGCAGTGACATTTTGAAGTTCTCTTCTAATTTGTTTATGTACCCTTGCCAAAAGTGGGGAGGATGGCAATTCCATTGAAAGTCTAAATAGTTGTTTATAGATGGTCCAGTTGAATTTAAAATAGGTTGTTCCTATAGTCTAGTTATTAGTCATGTTAACGACTTCCTTCTGATCCTTTCTGCTTCTAGGATATCCTTCTCTCAGTCTAGGATTTACAGCGAAGCCGTTAGCGCCTTTTCTCCAGACATATTTGTATACATGGATTATACCTTAAAATTTACCAATAAACCTGTTTCATCCAGTGCCATATTTTCTATTCTTTGAGAAAATTCATATAAATATTTCACAGTTTGATAGCCTCTCATTTAATTTCGTGAGCTACTCGCATATGAATTTTGCCAATTTTTGTATTGCTACATACTTGTTGTTAACTGTCAGCCTAAGGAGTTTGCCGTCTTAGAGTATCTTTGGTGATCTGTAGGCTGCTGGTTACCATGCATCATATCTTATGATTGAATTTTATGTCTATGTGTCAATTTCCACGTTCATATGCATATCTTTCAGCATTTCTTTTAAGATTCCATTGATCTTTATAGTTAGGTTCTTCTTTATTTTACTATATGTAGTCCTGTCGCGGAGAATATATTCCATTTTCTCGGTAAATGGTTTTTTGTCCTGTATAACTGTTGCTCCTTCTTTACCTGCCTGAAAGAGCAGTTAAAATCTATGCTATCAAGCAGACATAGTTAGATCATTCTAATATTTTATTAATCTAGTTTAGTGTTCTAAAGGTTTAACGGAATTTATTCTTTACCAAAGGATGGAAAAATTTTAGCTTACATATATTTATGTGAATTAATTTGAGTTTGAAATTAATTTATTTACATTATGCAGTATTAATAACCCTGGCTACATACTCAATTTAAAGAGTTTTGAGCACTACCACCCTAAATCAATTTTACATAATAATATAGATATATATTATTATTTTTTTGCAAATATGTTTATCTTCTGTGTGTATGAAAGACCACTTAATGTTTATACAATTCTCAATAATCATTTCCTACTGCCCTATTCTTAAATAAAATTTATTTGAGCATAAATTTCTTTCTAAATCCATGCTATTTTAAATGTTAATACCTTGAATTCACTGTGAATAGAACAATGTGAAATATAAGGAATATATTTGATCTATTGAAATTTTTTATTTGATATTTCTGAATTGTATTTAAATTCAATTATTTGTATAGAAAAGTTATAACGGAGCTAATGAATATTTATAATCAATATATGTGTCTTGATTCCTTTCGAAAATTTGTCCATATATTAATATAATGTAGGCTTTCAAACTGTCTTTAAATCTTCTATAGAGTTATAGCCAACCTAGGTTGCTTAACGTGTTCGAGGACTGATAGATGATTGCACCACAATGAGATGATTGGGCTTCACTCTGCAGTTAAATTTCATTTATAAGAGTTGTATTCATCTTATTTCTTTTCTGGTAATAAGAGTTAATTGGATGAATATATCTCATATATATGATTTATTAACGGTCTTGAAAGCCTAAGTATAAACAAAATGTAAATTTTATTTAGCCTTGCTTCTAAGAGGCTTTCATTTTGGATTCAAATTTAAATCTTTCACCAGCACCAACAGTTGGAATCGAACCAAGGTATGATAGCATATTTGTCTGACACACTACCTTGGCGCCGCACTTACATGAGTGAATAGTATGCGAATTAGGGTGTGGGAAATTGTTATTCGAAATGTATTGATAGTTTAAGAACCCAATTTGTATTACTATGAGTTACGCAGTCAATGATAAGTCGCAAGTCCATTTCATCGATGATCCTATTATTTTTCTGATATGGGAGAGGCATGGTCTTCCGCGAAATGGCGCAATGGTAACATGTCGAGGTTATACGTTGCACTTCACGGTTTCAATTGCAGCTAGGAGTGCTGATGGGACCTAGTCTAGGTCGAAATTGCAGTCGAGTCTGTTGGGTCTGGATTAAGACACCTTTTGGAACGCAATGCTATGTAAAATTCGATGTAAATGTGAGGCATACTAATATAATTGTGGGAAATTAAACTATCTGTCCATCATCGCTTTAAGCCACCCAGGATGACTGATTCTCTTATTCCGACATATGCCGTATTTTTTTAGTCTAAGAAGTCCTACATCAAGAGATGGTCATGTATATATATGTATATATATATATATATAGACTAGTCGGAAAAAAATTAGTCTCGTATCAAATAATTTCAAGTTAATACTTGGGCTTCTTTTTGCATGAAATATTCTTTAACCTTGATTAATATACTTTAACTTTTTTGAGAATTTAGTGTTATTTATTTTTAAGTTTTCAAAAATAAGTTTTGTGTTAATTAATTTTTTTTATAATCTGCATACCATTGA